CTGCAAGAGGTTAAGATGATCGTCATGCATAAGGAAACAACTGTAGGAAAGTGAGAAACATACTGTCCTAGTTACTTTTCTCTCATTGCTGGGACAAAATACCCGATGCCCAAAATGAAGGAAGGAAAGGTTTATTTAGCTTACAGTTTGTGGAAGTTTCAGTCCATTCTTGGCTGGCTCCAAGGCAGAGTGGCACATGGAAGAGGGCAGCACTTTGGAGGAAGACAGCAAAAGCAGCAAGCGTAAAAAGGGAGGAACAGTGGAGGCAAGCAGCCTCTTTCCCTCCCTTACATTGTACGCAAACTACTCACCCCAGGACAGGTGTAGCACTCACATCCACAATTCCAACATTGGACCGTGAATCAATCATAAACTCTAAAAGCCCGCCCCATGACTCCATGTGGCTTTGGGACAACATCCACACACAAACCATAACAGTAGGTAGGTACTTGCCTAGGATAATTACACCTTGGAGCTTCAGAGCACTGTTACTTAGAGAACACTCTCACAGTTATATCTCAAGTGATTCTTCGACGAACCCTGTGAAACAGTAGAATAGTTGTTCTAAATTCTCACAAGTGGAAGAGTGGGATCTTGGCTTTCTGATTTACTAACAAAGCTAGGTTGTAGGGTGAGGAATGCTACAGTCGATTGGGTTAAATGGGGAGAGACCTGACCAAAAGTTTCCTAATGAGCTCAAATTCACACAAAAACAGGAAGTTGTAAGTTTTTGAAAAATACTGAAAAATAAACTGAAATGATCTATTACTGTACTCTCTCTCACTCATCTCTGTCTTGCTCTTACATCTGTTTATTTAGCTCACAGTTTGTGGAGGTTTCAGTCCATACTTGGCTGTTTCCAAGACAGAGTGGCACATGGCAGAGGGCAACACTTCGGAGGAAGACAGCAAAAGCAGCAAGCGCACAAAGGAAGGAGCAGTAGAGGCCACTGGGCATTTTGTCCCAGCAATGAGAGAAAAGTAACTAGGACAGTATGTTTCTCACTTTCCAACAGTTGTTTCTTTATGCATGAAGATCATCTTAACCTCTTGCAGCTGATGCATTTTTATGACTAGCTCAGACTCACCTTTCTTCCAGAAATCTCTGACCTCCTCATCTGAGTATCGGAACATTGATCCTCAGACTTGGCATCTGTCCCCTCCCCCAGGAAAAGCAGCTCCCGTGGTGAACCTCAGGCCTAAATTTAGTCATCTGGCCTTCTATTTTAAGAACCATTTAAATTTGTGAAATGAAGGTTTTACCTTTTGATGAGGAAACCATAACTTTGTTGTAAATATGGAGCATGATGTCCTTGACAACGAATGCACTAAATTTCATACGATAAAAGAGGTTACATCAATAACCACCTGTTTCAGGTAGTGAGGATGGAAACTGTGCTTTTAAAAGTACTATTCTAGAATATTAGTTTATAAATGCCCAAATTTGTTGTTAAGGGCTAAAGAATGAACAGATGTAAGAGCAAGACAGAGATGAGTGAGAGAGTACTTGCCTAGCAGGGAAAATGCCCTGGTTCCATCCTCAATACTAACAGCATAAAACCAAGCCAAAACAAAGAAGAATAACTAGGCAGACATGACAAAAATAAAACAGAAAAACATATCAGTGCATAGTCATGAGTTCCCTGTGATTTGCCTTTCTAAGTCCTTTCGGTCTCCATGGATTAGAGTTTACCTGCTGTAATTCTGCAATCTCCATTCAACAGTTCTGAAGCAGAACACTACCTATGTGCATTTTATCACGGACATGTATGACCTTGAAGACTACATGTGGGTCAGTGAGCATAAGGCCATCTTTCCAATACGTCAACAGAAAGAGATCATTTAAGCACAGTGGCATATTTTTTGAAGCCAATTTACCTACAAACACTAGTTTGCCTATCTCAGAACAACATACAGAGAGGGGAGAGTTGAAAATGAATGAAAACCACGCTCAATCCATAATCAAATGAAAATGTTTTGGGAATGGTGCCAGAAAGCATTCCTGAATTAGCCTCTCTTCAGCACCTAAATTTAGTCATCTGGCCTTCTATTTTAAGAACCATTTAAATTTGTGAAATGAAGGATTTACCTTTTGATGAGGAAACCATAATTTTGTTGTAAATATGGAGCATGATGTCCTTGACAGCGAATGCACTAAATTTCATATGATAAAAGAGGTTACATCGTTAACCACCTGTTTCACAGAAGGTAGTGAGGACAGAAACTGCTTTTAAAAGGTGCTGTTCTAGAATATCAGTTTATAAATGCCCAAATTTGTTGTTAAGGGCTAAAGCATGAACAGATGTAAGCAGTGCACCACAGGAAGTTTCTGAAAGTATTGCTTGTTGTGGGAAGAGGTATAAAATTCCATGAAAGGATGCAGTGCTATTATATTTTATTACATTTATGTCTATAAAGTTTATAAAATATACTTTTAGCAGAATTCACTAACTAAAGAATCTGAGATTTTATTTAACATTCAATAATATTTAAATAAACATTTCAAAAGCTTAGATATTTTAAACTCATTTCAACACTGCCAAAAATAGCAGTAACTACAATTTCTTCAAGAATGTGATTTTATAACGCATAGCTCTCCTTTACCTGACAGGTGTTTTTGGACTGTTATATATCAGATATTCTAGGTGTTAGGGCTACACTCATAAACAAGAGGAACATAATATTTGGTCCAGTGAAATTTACCACATGGCAACAAAGTCTGGCACAGCATACTTAAATGGTGAATTCATAGAACGAACACTTGAAATGAAATTATTTTTGAGCAAACACCTGCTATGAATTGTTTTCATTCTTTGTGTGAATTAGAGTTTTACTCTGTTAATTCCAATGGTGCTTACTGTTTGTTAAGCAGTGTGCTAAGTCCTGCCATTCACTGACCCACTTACTTCATCAATTTTTGAAGTACATGTGACGGTCATCTTCTGAAGAACTGAAGCTCAGAAGGGTAATACAGTTTTCTCTCAGTCACACATCAGGAGCTGTTTGATAGAATTTGTGATCCTCATATTATGTTACTTACAATGTGTGATCAAAATACATGGTGAATGTTGAAATTGTTTAAAAGCCTCATTATAATAAAAGATACATTATCATTAATCCCCCTCAAAATTTTCCCCAACACTTCAAAGGCACTCTTCCATCACTCTTGCCACTTTCTAAAGAAGTTTGGAGTCCTCTTGTATGAACCTCTTTAGTTGTAGTACAGTGGCTATCTCCTGTCTTGGGTTGATTCAGAATGTGCCTCTCACTGTCATTTTGACCTCAGGAAAGAGCCAGATGTCGCATTGCACCAGGTCCAGTAAATAGGTGGATAAGGACACTGGGTAATGTCTTTTTGACCCTACCTTTCCATTGAATGGTATCCGGCACCAGCAATTAATATATATTTACTATACTTCAGTAAAGACATACTGCCAAGAATGGGTAGGATAATTGTGTTCAAAGTCATGGGGAATATTTTGAGGAGCAATTAATGGCAATATGTCTTTACTGTATACATTTTTAAAATTTAAGCATTCACCTGTCACTTTAATCATACCACATATGCATGCTGAATAATAATTTTAGCATACCATGGAATAATTATGCTCTACTGACTGAACAACATTCTAGATTATAAGGAGTTTCACTGTGTAAAGATTTTGTTTAGAAATGATCTACTATTAAAATAAGCTTGACATCGTGTATGTCACTTTTTGCGATGTAACAGTCCCATTGTGGCTCAAACTTTTACGAACACAAACTTCTGTGATCTCACTTCATGTCTGATGCCAGGTATCTGTGGGTAGCCTAGCTGTGTGGTTCTGGGTGAGAGTTTCTCAGTCAAGATGGTAGCCCTAGCTGGGAGTCTGAGGGTAGATGGGGCAGGCGGAGCAACTTCTTGGCTTGTTGATAATGGCTGGTGGAAGCAGCTTTAGCTCCCCACCAAAGAGTCTCTCCACTGACTGCTCGGGTCCTGGCAGCTAGCTTCCCCCAAAGCAAATTCTTACAGAATGTGCGACAAGACAGAAACTGCAGTCTCCTTTATAACAAAAGCCAGAAGTAGTAAATGGATCTGGTACTAGTCAGTGCAAAAAACCATGGAATTTGAACAGGAGAAGCTTACTATAAATAGTTATTAACTATGACGTAGGACTGCATTAATGAGTAATAAGTAAAACAAAAATTCTAAAGAATATGGGAAGAGGACTGAAAAACAACGATCACTTCTAGGGCAGAGTGGAAGTTTTACATTTTGAGGAAGTCCAAATTATTAGTTATTTATTCTATGCATTGTACTTCTGTTCTGTTTAAGGAAACTTTGGAGAACTAAATGCCATGGAGATTTCTTCCCCTAACCTTGTAGCTTTACAGTCTTAAGTTTATATTAATGTTAATTATTTGCTCTGGTTTGAATGTAGCTTGTCCTGTCTGAAACACGTATTTAAATATGATATAAATGTGATCAAGGGTAATGGGATCCATAAGAAGTGATTAGACCGTGGGGACATGGTCTTTATGACTGGCTCAGGCCCATTTTTCCAGAACTGGATCATTTGCTGTGAGAACCTCTTCTTCGCATTTTCTCCCTTACTTCCTACCATGTTAAGATGGAGCACTAGGCCTTGCCAGGTGTGGTCACCTACTCTTGGCCTTCCAACTCCAGGGCTGTGAGTAAATCAAGTTCTTTTCTTTATAAACTGCCCAGCTTCGTATGTTCTGTTTCAGCAAAGTAGGTTAAGAGACGTTACAAGGTGTGGACCCAAGTTTATTTTCTTCTCAGCATATGGATAGCCTTTACAGGTATCATAGAGACTACCCTTTCTCAAACAAACACCTCAAGGCATTGTATGTTGTGCTCACTGCCCAATGTCAAACCTGTTTCCACATTTGTTGGATTACCATTCCATATTCAGGAACTTAAATCTGTACAAGGTGTCTACTGTTTAATAAAAATTTCTTAAATTTCACACTTTAAATCAACAGTGTTTATTCTCTTACCCAGTTTTGTGGCTCAGGAATCCAAGAAAAGTGTAGCTGGGGGTTCTAGCTCAGGGATCCTCATGACATTGAGTCAAAATGTCCAAGGCCACACACCGGAAGATGACCAGGTTGGAGGCTCTGCTTCCCAACTCCATGTTCAGTATGGTAGTTGTCTTTTTTTCCAGAGCAAATCCTGAGAGAAAGGTGGGAGGGAGGGAGAGAGTGAGAGATGGAGGGATTGATGGTGAGTGGGAGGGAGAGGACAGAGGAGTGGGAGGGGGCTGAAGAGGGGGAGGGGGAGAGAGGTCCAAATGACAGAAACTGTAGTGTTTTCGACAGTCTCTTCATGGAAACAATATACCAGCACATCTGCTGTGCTCTTTGGAAAAGGGGAAAATGGCGTAATTCTGTATTCAAGGACTCAGGGGTCACTGGAGGACATCTTGGATGCTGGCTACCAAACCATTTTGGGAAAAATATTTTTCTGGTTATAGTTTTTTGAAGAATTGTGACTATTCATCTAGGCATTTGGTGATTACAAAGTTACAGTTGAAATGAGTTTGATTTCTAAAACTAGTTTCATAAATTTATATACAATGTTTTTTATGGACTTCATAATGAGATATTCACAACATGAAATACTTGGAACAATAAAGCCATACTGTATGTAATCGTAAAATTAATAAATGTACTATGAAATACAGCTTTCATGAAAAATACCCATGAAGTTCAGAACTGAGTTTAATCTGACTAGTTTTGGAAAAAAGTTGGTAACCTCTAATTAATTAGCCTCTGAGTTTTAAATGTTGATTCTTTACATGGTCCTGATTTTAATTTATTATGAAACACTTTCCTACCAGAAATTATTTGTGCTCTCTCATCACTCACAAATTACTTCTAATTCAAGCAGTAAAAGCTCTGCAGTCACATATTTTTCACTTGCATATTTCTTTTCTAATATTCTCACCTAGAAGTAATGATCACTTTAAAAAGAGAAGCACACCAGATTTAGTTGAAAAATGGATGTTATCTGATAATAAATAATGGAATGATGGATGAGTATGGGAAATTAATATGGAGGTAAAGTCTAGACAATCAGAGATAATAAAAGAGAAAAAATACTATGATCTTTAATCACTAAGCTATCATGTTACATCTATATTTTCAATATCTTTCAAAACATCAGTTAACCTAGCGTGTCGTTTATTACTTTTTGGAAGAGCCAGCGTCTCTCTTGAGAATGTTATGAAATTATTGACCACCACCATGCAAATGTGTCCATAAAATTTGAAACAATTCATGTATCTCTGGAAGCCATAGAGTCTATATATGCACTTCTGTGCCACAGATTGTAAGAAATATTATTAATTTAGTGTGAGGGGAAACATTTATGGCAATACTGGCCTCTTACTGATATTGTGGGCTAAGACAGAATACTTTTCAAGGTCAAAAGATACCAGAAGAGAAAATTTTTGTACAACAAAAACTTGGTTTCTCTATGAAGTAAAAAATATTAAACTGGGAAATAGATTCTGAGACACCAATTAGTATGTATTTTGTTGGTCTGACGGCCCAATCTTTTCATTTTAGGTGCCTTCTCTATGCTACACAGAGAGCACTCCTCCTACCTGACTACACACACATATTTACTAATTGTCCAGTTTACTCAGTGTAGGTAGAACTTAGCTTGGACTGATTGAGCCTAACTTCTTCAGGAACAGCTCCGTCATGAATTTACCAGAAAGCAAGTTTACTTTTCCCTAGGCGCAGGTTATCTGATGGGCAGCAGGGAGAAGCAAAAAGGCTGAAATAAGATGCGAACAAGTTACAGATTCAGTCAGAACGCTATTACCTTTTGAGGGAAAATTAGCCCTGGAAGGAAAGTGCAGCAGAAGGCGGGACAAGCCAGGGCAGCGCTGCGCACATTCCAGCGAGGTTTCAGGCAGCCCTGCATGTGAATGCGCTCTTAAAGGACGTGACCAGGTGAGACCCGCTTGCTGACGGCGACTAATCCACAAGGAGCAAATCATCCTGCCCCGGGGCGAGTGGCAGTGTCAGCCACAGGCTGGGGAAGGGAAACCGCGTGTTCTGAGGGGAGGAGGAAGCCAGGGCGAGCAGAGGCTTGCCTGGCAGTGGAGCTGAAACGAAAGCTGAGCGCTCTCAGTTGATTTAGAAGACTTTGTGCCAATTAGGTTAATAAATGTTTTTGACAGGCAAGAGGTTCTAATAAAGGGACAGCAGTGGCACCACACACAAAGGAATTCAACAAATCTCGGCACTTTCGTGTGCCCAAAGGAGATGAGTGGGGAAATTGGGATTTATTTGATTCTAAAATGACGTGGAACAGGTTAAAAAAATGTAAGTGACACACAGTGACCATCTAGTAAAAAATATACATATTGTTTTCATTTCTTAACCTTACTCTTTCCATAAATGCGTGCTTTCACACACATATATGTGTTTTCCCCAGCCCCTTTCACAGACTGCTGTACATTTGTAGAACTACAACAGTGCTGAGGATTTTGGAAAGATGCCTTGAAATTTCCCAAAAGACGAGCCTCTTTGTTACTGAATCTAAAACATAGGTGCAGAGCTTCCACGTAATATGTGGATTTATGGATAACAAGAATGGAGAGGAGTTGTCTTGCAGTATCATTTAATATTAGCGATTGTGTAAGTACTACAAAGTGCAGCGGAAGGACGTAAGTTCATTTAAAATGATATTACGTAGCTGCAGTAGGTAGATTTTGTGACAGAATTGTCACATGAACAGAAATGCCATTTTTAATATTAGAGACAGTCATTGACATTTTTGGGCTATCTGTTTTTTAGTAGAGCTCAGGCTGTTATTTAAAATCAATGTGTCTATGTCAAACAGATGACAGGCCGGGGATCATGTTATAAGAATAACATTCCACTTATGTTTGGACACTGTCGAGCATGAACCGCACATGGCTCAATAGGTAATGCTTGTAAGGGCTGACCTCTGCATCAACTTTTCACTTTCTGTTTATTTGGTATAACTATACCCCCTTCCGAAGGATGACTGGCCTTGTACAGAGCAGCCTGTGGAAGTCAGAGAGAAAACAGGTCAATGAAGTTACCTTGTTAGTGTGAGATCACCGCAGCAGTTGCTTTGGATAAATTAAATCTTTATTCTAATTAAGTAAATTACTTTCCTTACCATTATTAAAGAGCTTCCAGTTTTATGATGACCAAAAATGGGCCAACTCAGCTGTAGCTATACAAATACATGTGTGCATACAGCTAATAAACCGGCATAGAAAATCTCTCTCTCTCTCTCTCTCTCTCTCTCTCTCTCACACACACACACACACACACACACACACACGCAGGTGACCAAACCCAAGGCTTTCACACTAAGCTACATTGCGAGCCTTTTTCTTCTATTTTTAATTTTGACACAGGTTCTCACTTTTGTTGCTATGTTGACCAGGCTGGGCTTGCATTTACAGTTCTCCTGCATCAGCCTCCCAGAGCGCTGGGATTACAGGCATGTACCAGTATGACAGGCTGAATGTTCATCTTTAACTGAATTAATGTTTAAATATATAGTTATCTATAAAGGCCAGAAGATATTTATTAGAAGTTTAAATAGAAAAAATATATTTGCAGTATGTCCTCCCACATTTGATCATACAATTTTATTATCTATGACGATTTTGCAAATTAAAATACAAATATTTTAATTTTCATATATTCTCTCAGAATTGAATGCTGAGTTTCTTCATTTATCCACTAAAATCTCCTTTGAAATGCTATGGGCTTCCAGTATATCAAATTATAGTCAAATACATTAGGAAAAAGTCATTCTCACTAAAGTGTTGGCTGTGAGCTAGGGTGATATGAGAGAACAATCTTAAAAATGTTTGGAGCCCTTTGTCCAGGTGTGATTTGTGAGTCATTGCTTTCTGTCATTCTGAGGTCTTGACTTTTTCCAAGTGGAAAATTCTAGCCTCCTCTTTTGACGTAATAGTGAACCTGAGGCAGTTTCTATTGGCAGATTATATATATATATATATTTTCCTGGGAACTTTATATATTTCCATGAAATTCTGATTTAAAAACAAACAAACAAACAACTGAGTAGAAAATTGATTTATTTTTCCTTTTAAGTACCAAGACAACTTGCATTTCCAACACCCCTTCTTGACACCCCCCCAGTTAAAACTGCACATTTCTGGGTAGTTTTCTTGCCTCCGAGGTACTGTGGGCAGCAGTGTCACTCATTTTTCTACCACCCATGACCCTGGGTGCTGATTTTCTAGCTTCTAAAGCAGTTGTATCAGTTACTTCTTGGTTTCACTAACCAGGTTCCTTGCTGCCTTTCTCATGCTCTGCTGCCCACTTTTATAGTCTCTGGTTCATGCTTTAGGTTTTGATATTGGGGTATATCAGGCGTGCCCAGGGGTGGCATTCAGAGCCTATAGCAGGGATGGTGAAAAAGTCTGAACACACTATCATCTATTACAATTTCCACAAGATTAAAGTTTATGGTATGTCAATTCTATTTATATAAAGTTTTATGAAATTATATTTCAAAAAAGTTGCTAATTTTTTCTGTTAAACTTCTATTTGAAATGTGACTTCCAGAACACATGAAATTACACATTGGGCTGCACTGCATTTCTAGTGATGGAGTGGCATTCTAGATGATTAAAAAAAAAGCCTTTATTAAAATAAATGAGGGCCGGGCATGGTGGCACATGCCTGTAAGCCCACCACTCGAGAGGCTGAGGCAGGAGGACAGTTGTGGGTTCGAAACCAGCCTGAGCTACAAAGTGAGCTCAAGGCCAGCCTGAACTGTATAGCGAGACCCTGTCTCAAAAAGACAAAATAGAATGGAATAGAATGGAATGGAATGGAATAGAATAGAATAGAATAGAATAGAATAGAATAGAATAGAATAGAATAGAATAGGATAGAATAGAATAGAAGAATAGAATATTTCAATTCAAGGGTGAATGTACTGTTAGAATAGAGAGCAACTGTTTAAGATGGACAGTATTTTAGAAATGGCAAGGGCATCACTTGGCTGAAACAAAGGACTGTGTTTGAAGAGGATTTGTACAAGGTTAAACTTCTTTCAGATATTTTTCTGATATAATGTCTTAAAATCTACAGAAAAGAGTTTGTGGCCGAATACTATATCTCAGGTTATATTGTGTGCGTGTGTGTTTTATGGGCTGTTACGGGCAATGTTTATATTTATCGGACATTTCTCAGTTAATTATTTTATAAATGGGAGAGTTGCTACATAATATTTATAGGTTTACCAGTAGTTGGGTGTTTCAGAATTTCCAAAGTGTATTCTAAAAAATAAACACTTTAGTGATGTGCTCCATTTCATTGTATTCATACATGTTTGCAGTACGCGCGGATGACACACTCCTTGGGGGTGCGCGCGTGCGCACTGCAGCTTGTTTCTCCCGCTTTTCTGAGTCCCCCTTCCCGTGCCTGTCTCCTCCCTCCTCCCCCTCGAGCCCCCCGTCCTGATTTTCATTCTTTTGGGTATCACAGTATTAATCTTACCTCAGGTTATGGCAAATAATGTTTACATTAAAAATAAAATAGTTTAAAAAACCCAACGCTTAAAACCAAAGAAAGCTTCAATATCTATTTTGGTTATATTTCTAAGTGATTTTTATATCAATGATTAGTTAAAGTTATTTGAAGAATATCATCTTTGTTATTACTAAAATACATTCAAATAATCTGAAATATCAAGCTCCCATAACGAAAACAGGCAGAGAGCTGCCCCATACAATATGAGCAATCCATCATTTTTAACAGTGCAGAAAAGCATTGTTAAACACTTGTACTGGGGCTCTTTTTTCATTTTTTGTTAATCAATATATTGTTTGAAATCACAGTTAGTCTATAAAGATGCAATAAAATAATTACTTGGCCTCTTTGTAGCGAACTCATAGGGTACAATGGTGGGAGGAACCTAGGTACTTTAAGCTTAGTAGTGGAAAAAGAAAGTTATATATATATATATATATATATACTACCTGTCTTTTGGCTAATGGAAAAACCTAGTAATTTTAGATCTACCTAGAATTTTAGATGGAGTTTTAGAGGGTGGTCAGGACTCTTTTGGATTCAAAACCCTTTTCCTTACATAACCACATGACTTATTACCATTCCTGTGGGTTTGTTTAAGAATGGGACTGAGGAGTTTTGCCACTGTCCACATCATGTAGTCAGGGATATCACTTGCTTTGGTTTAAGATGCATGTAGTGGAAAGTGGTTTGGGCAGAAGCTGGGACTGTTGCATTAACACCTCAGATCTCCACTTCCCCTTCTCACGTCTCCCCTGGCCCTGGAGGACCGAGCCCTTGATGGAGTGTCAGTGTGTAGTGATGCACAGCCCTTTGCACTTGTGATGCTTTGCTCAAGTCTGGATCTGCCCATTGCACAAAACACTTCTTGAAACCACCAGAGAAGAAAAAGGCTTATAAAGGATAGTAAATGACGGTCACTACTAAAGTGTAAGTTTATGCAACTTTTATGCATAATGTTTATTATGTATGTTTTTACTTGATTTTGAGGTACTAGCAGCATTTATACACATTTATTAAAGAGCATTTACCTCTGATAATGAAAAAGAATTTGAAAGTGAAACAGTGAGAAAGTGAAATGTCACATTGTACAGTACTCCTTGAATATGCACATCTTGCAGTGATGTGTTTTGAGAGATAGTATATAGAAAAATAAGTACAATAATATAATTATGTATGTATTTTTAAAGTTGTGTATCTCATAGTACATTATTTTAAATAATGATTCAGAATACCATCTGAGCCAATATTAGTAATCTGAATTTTAATTTGAACTATAATGACCTACTTTGTGAGATCATCAGAGAAATGAGAACTGATTTCATTGGCCATAATAAGGTTAAAAGTTTA